GGCCACTGCACTCCAGTCTGGGCGACAGAGTGAGACTGCAACTCAAAAAAAGAAAAAGAAAAAGAATCCCAGTTTTGGCCAGGTTCGGTGGCTCAGCCTGTAATCCCAGTGCTTTGGGAGGCCAAGGCGAGTGGATTTCCTGAGCCCATGGGTTCTAGACCTGCCCGGGCAACTTGGTGAGACCTCATCTCTACAATAAATTTTTAAAAATTAGCTGGGCATGGTAACGCGTGCCTGTAGTTCCAGCTACTTGAAAGGTTGAGGCAGAAAGATTGCCAGAGCCCAGCAGGTCAAGGCTGCAGTGGCCAGGAATGTGGCACTGCACTCCAGTCTGGGCGACAGAGTGAGAATCCAACTCAAAAAGAAAACCAAAAAAGAATCTCAGTTTGAATCTTCCTCTGCTGTTTACAAGTTTGAGCCATTACTTATCTCTGTCTGCACCTCAGTTTCCTCATCTGCAAAACAGGAGCATGATATTAGTACCCAACTCAAAGTGTTGTTATATTATTGGAAAACAGGGCCTGGCACATGGTAAGCATGAACATCTGTTAGGATTCCATTTTGCTAGAACTGAAGGAACCTCAAAGATCCCATCTGAACTTCTCATTTTGCTGGTGAGGAAACTGAGGCCTCAGAGAAGGGAAGGGGCTTACCCAGAGTGATGTAACTGTTTAGAGACAGAACCAAAACTAACTCCATAAAATCACAGATCTCAAGAGGTACTGGAAGAGACCTCAAGAGATCATCTGGTGGGCTTTGCTCTCACACAATAAAGATAGTGTGAGCCACATTTTATAGATAAAGCAGTTGATGGCCAGAAGGGATAAGACACTTCTGACGCTCACTGAATCCCTTTGCTATCTCAACACATGGTACCTGTCTCTCTACTCGGTGCTGCACCCTTCTCTCAAGGATATACAGCATAAGTATGGCACACAAATCACTTTCAATAAGTAACCATGAATTGCCCAACAGTGTCAGAGACCTGGGAACAGAAGAAGGGCTAGTTATCATCTCCCCTAGGCCACTGCTGGGAAAGCCCAAGTTAGGCATCAAGAAATAACATTCTGAGGTGGAGAGAAACTGCTGTCTAGATCATCCCAGTCTCTGTCTCTGTCTCTCTTTCCTCAAGCATAACTACCTGGCCCAGGACTCAGTCCTTTTCCTGCCTTTGCCTTCATATCTCTCAGGTACCATCTCCTACCTCTGTGTCCTGGGGCTGCCCAGGGCTGGTTTGGGTGGACAGATCTGAACCTTTGGTGGAGGGACAGATGGGAGGCTCCTGGGTGTGTAAGGGAGGAGGTGTTCATCTCTGTGGGTGCCTAGGAGAATCCCCGCACCTTCCTTTCAGTCCAGGGGGATGCATTGCATAAGGAGGGTTTGTACAGAACATGGTAAGTGACTCAACCTCCGGATTTCCTCCTCTCGGCTCAAGACCACTGCCCCTTGACTTACTTTCAAGGTTCTGGGTGATAGGACCTGGGTTGCTTCAAGGTCGACCTCAAGCTTCTTTCCCATAGCTCTGACTTGTATCTCCTCCCATTCTGACTGGCAGCCAGTCTGGAAAAGAACCACATCCCCATCTTGCCACTGTGATCCCAGAGTGATGTGGAGCTGCAGAGCACAACCCAATCCTTTACATCAGATCATATCCCAGGAGGCTGACACATAGCCAGGAGACATGCTTCCTGAAGGAGGCTTTCAATCTGACCTCAGCTGGTTTTGGCCAAAATAATTTATTCAGTAAGTGTTTGTTGAGCATCTATTCTGTTAATAAGACAAGTTCTCGGCAGGATAGGTAGGAAGAAAAAGACAATAAACAAGTGTGCCAGTTGGGCACAGTGGCTCACACCTATGATCCCAGCACTTTGGGAGGCTGAGGGAAGAGGATTGCCTGAGCCCAGGGGTTTGAGACCAGCTAGGGCAACTTGGCAAGACCTTGTCTCTCCAGTAAATCAAAAAAGTAGCCAGGTGTGGCGGCAAACACCTATAGTTCCAGCTACTTGGAAGTCTGAGGCAGAAGGATCGACTGAGCTCAGCAGGTCCAGCCTGTGGTAGTAGTGAGTGTGCCACTTCACTTATTTTTTTTTTTTTTTTTTTTTTTGAGTTGGAGTCTCACACTGTCGCCCAGGCTGGAGTGCAATGAACGCTCACAGCCATAGCCAACTCAGACTGCTGGACTGAGGTGATCCTTTCGCCTCAGCCTTCCAAGTAGCTGGGACTACAGGCATGTACCACCATGCTCAGCTAATCTTTTGCTTTATTGTAGAGATGAGGTCTCACCAAGGTGCCCAGACTGGTCTGGAACCTGTGGGCTCAGGCAATCCTCTCATCTTGGCCTCCCAACATGCTGGGAATATAGGCGTGAGCCACCGCGCCCAGCCCACCACTGCACTTTAGACTGGGGGACAGAGTGAGACTCTGACTCAATAAATAAATAAAATAAGTGTGCCAAATGTGTTCCTTCGCCCCTCCAGGTTCCCTCTCTGCCCTTCATCACCCTATCCAGCTCTCAGGTGGACACACAGGCTTCCTAAGGGGCTGGAGGTGAGACTGACAGGAGAGAGAAGGCAAGAGGAGAGAGAAGGGAGCTCCCTCACTGATAGGCCCTCTCCATAGTCCCTCTGAGAAGATTCCCCTGACCTCAGGGCCTGAGCATAAGGGCTCCCAATTTGGGCTAGCCCAGGGTGCCAGTTGCTTTCCCTAAATCCTGTTCCTTCACATCGTCATAAAGTACTTTCATTCAATTCTCTTGATTACTTCATTTGAATATGCCCATTAGGGAAACCCAATAAACCAACAGCCAGGGAGGAGACTATTATAGCTGGGATGATCTAGGAAGGTCTCTCTGAGGAAATGACATTTAAGTTGAAACTTAAAAAATTTCAAGGAGGAAGATGTGCCTTTGGGTGGAAGAGTGAGTAGGACAAGCAGGGTGATGATGAAAAAGAAAGAAAGCCAAGAGTGACTGGCAGAATGAAAAGAAGGAAGATATGGATAAGAAAGAAAAATATATACCTCCTTCACTCCAGAACGGAGTTGCAAGTGACTCTCTTAAGAAACTGGGGTGAAGACCAGGGCATGGAGTGGCTCATGCCTGTGATCCTAGTACTTTGGGAGGCCAAGGTGGGAGAATTACTTGAGGCCAGGAGTTCAAGACCAGCCTGAGCAACATAGTGAGATCTCATTTCTTTTTTGTTTTTTTTTTAATTGGAGTCTCACTGTCACCCTGACTGAAGTGCAGTGGCATACTCCCAGCCACCACAGCCTTGACCTGCTGGGCTCCGGCGATCCTTCCATCTCAGCCTTCCATGCAGCTGGAACTACAGGTGCGTGCTACCATGCCCGGCTATTTTTTTATTTATTGTAGAGAT